AGAACAAGGAGAGATTCCAGGTCTCTTGGGGGAAATAATCTGCACCCATTACCTCTGAGATTCCCCTCAAGTATACCAAAGTACAAATATAGTCACCAGTGGAAAGGTAGGAAAGCTCCACATGGAATGATTTATTCAACATTCATATTTACATGGAGAAGAGAAACAATTTTGTAAACATAAAGGAAATTTTGAGTTGTTAAATAAGAGTGTCATTTCCCTATCCTATCTCATATTATTTCCTCTTCTATATCGTATATACATTTACACATAATGTGTATATGTTAAAATGAATTATTCATGGCAACAAGATTGCTTCATCCAATACTTAGTGCATTCAAGTGGGTGTTTCCTCCTATTCAAAGTATCTAAATTTGTTTTAGTCACTTATATTTTTCAACTGTCATAAATGCAGAATATAAACAAATTTAAGCACTTGTAGATGCTTACCTGGCTACTCATCAAGTGATAGCTTGCAGCAACTTTCCAAGATGTTATGATTCAGCACATTTCCCTTTGAAATAGGTCTCCTAACCTGAAATTAGACGTCACTCAACCTTTAAACTTGGAACACTTTGTAAACTTTTAAAAAGAAACTCTTCTTTATTGGCTCTGTGAAACCCAGTCAAGGAATAATATGAAATGAATCTAATGGAAGGTCTTTCCCTCAATGAAGAAGGGGTCAAAATGGAAACTCCTATAAAAGGACTGAATCACCCACAATGCTTCAAAGATTCTTTGAGTGATTGTAAGAAACCCTGTCTGGATGACATTTGGAGAATGTTATTCCTAACAATATCCTCCTTTGAGACTGTGAAGGGGTAAAACCTGAAAGATGAGAAAAATTGCTGAGAAAATACAACTTTTGCTCTCCTTCGTTGTAGGTGCTGACGGCCACCCACCATCATCTGTGGACGGTGAATCTGGCTAATGATATGCAGGTTTTTCAAGGCAGAATAATTGCAGAAAATCTTCAAAGGTACTCCTATCAAATTTTGTATCTCTTGATTAATTAAACCATGGGCCACCTGAGCACTCTTGCCACTGGAAGAGGGGAACGTTTCATAGGTGGGGAACTGTAAGAACTAGCAGAAACTGCAGAGTCAAGGGTCCTACAACTTCCTGTTGCATTCTCGTTCTTCTTGGCCACGAGAACTAAAAGGGGCCTTGCATGTGGCAGAACCATGTCGTGAAATCAGTCCTCAGGAATGTCAGAAAAACCACCTGAAAAATGGGAATCTAAAGAATCCTATGACTTTATTAACATATTATGAGCTGTTGAGGAAGGAAGCTCAGGGGAATGAGGGGGCAGTGTGGCAGGCCAGCCACACTCAGTCGTCCACCGTGTCCTCCACAGTGTCAGGAGTGAAAGCTGTCAGATGTTACCTGTCTTATTCACAGCTTGTGTTCACAGTTTCTTTCTTGCCTTAGCCAGATAAACATTAGTGCCAAGAGTGTTTGTACCTACCTCACAGACTCAACCTTGGTGGTTCAAAAACCATTCTTAGGGGCTGGGTTCATATGCGATTACATCTCCAGGAGTCTTTTCTCAAATTTCAACTTTGAAAGTTGGCTCCCCTCCATGCCTAACCAAAACTAATGCAATGGAAACTGTTGAGTTCCTCTTGGTTTCAAATTGCTGCTCTTCAAGCCCATTGTTCTTTGCATGATTTTTATCCTTAGCTTTCTGTTGGCCCAAGTTGGCTTGGAATAAGTCCTCTAACTACCAAAAAGTTCATGAATCTCATGCAGAAAAACAAAATCTTCAAGTCTGCCTTTAATTTCAGGTTTGTCTTTTGAGGGTTGTTTTATCCAGCTTTTCTTTCAAATACTAATGGAATTACACATTTTATTAATATCTTAATTCTACAAACGATAAATGAAGAAGGGGAATGAGTGATTGGAAAGTATGATAGACAGGAGTTCCTTGACTTAAAATCATGAGCATCAGCAATTTTTCTGTCATTCGCAGGGCTTTGTCTGCAGATGGTCTTGGGTATTACCACTAATGGCTGATTATTGCACTGTATCAGATGCTTGTTATAAACAAGTTGAATCAACAGTAAGAGAAGTTGAAAGTTAAGTCTCCTTACTTCAAAACTCCAAACAAGAGAAGAAAATATTCCAAAACAGAAACGAAAGAGATGTATGTTTAGGAATCAGTTCAGTGAACAGAACTTGGACTTCATAAGAGTTCTTTATCTTCTTGAGTCAGTTTGCCAAACATGTTCTTGGAAAACCTCTAGCCTGATGCATCCATTTTTCTGTGGGAAAGAAAGAGGTTGGCCTTTGGAATCATACTATTCAAAATTAACTGTAGAAGAGGCTGGAACACCCTTAATACTGGAGGTCACCCTATATCTTCCAAAAGGGTCACTGAAAAACTGATTTCTCAAAGCATGTCTTCATTTCTTTTGTGCTATGAAAAGGCCACTTTTGGGGATGCCATGTTGTTTATTTTCTAGCCTTCCATTTCACACTTTTCTCCCTTTAATGAGTATTTTCCCTACTTTAAGCATTATAGCCTTTTCATTTCTCAATATATCCTTATTATGGGAAAATAGAAATAAATGTTTACTCTAATATTGGATCAACTAGAGTCACTTGCTCAAATTTGACACATAGGACACTTATTTCTTAAAAATCTGCAGACTCTTTATGAGAGCTGGCTCTGATCTGCTTTTTCCATCTTTAGGCTGGAAAATTCAAATTTAATATTCGACTGGCTTTGCCCCTACTCATCCAAATCCAACATTTGAGCTGGATTAGATAAGCCGCTGAGTCACTTCCCAGCACTATGTCTGTATTCATATATCCACAATCCTCCCATCTAGTAAATTTTATAGAAAGAAATGGGTCCTTTTTATATATGCTCAGACAGTCAGGTTTATAAAATAAGGACTCCTTTATTGGACTTTATGATTTCTGAGATGCTGCCCTGTGCATTTTTGGTTGGCTCTCTGCTCGTGTCATCTGGATATAAAGTTCTTTCATTTAATATTTTTCCAGCTTTAAGAACTGCTTATCTGTAGTTCGTTGAACTTGGCATCACCTCCAAAATACATAACCAAAGAAACAGAACCTGGAGAGCTTATAAGCAAATCTCAGAAGCTGTCCAAGCATCTCCTGTCTGTCAGATTGCCAGATTATCTCTTGTTCCAAGGAGAGAGAGGTTATATTTACATATAATAAGACACCAAAAAGACAATTAAATTTCACAGCTTGGGGGAGATTTTGAGGGTTCTCATCAAAAATGTTCACACCTGTGAAACAGGTTGCTTTTATTTTTTTGTAAAGCCTGGTTTTCAGCCCAAAATACACCTGCCAAAATATGAATGGCTGTTATTGTACCTTCTGGACAAGGTTTGGTGCACACAGATGGGATAACTTAGAACAGCAACTAT